GCCCCGGCAGCTCGCAGCCCCGGGGGGCGGCAGGGACGTGGCCCCCAGCGCCCGGGGGGGGAGACGGGGATCCCGGGTGCTGCCCCTGGCCGGACTCTCGCTCCGACACCCGCGCCCCGGCTCTGTTTGCCTGCGCCCGGCCCCGCTTATCGGGTGTTTGCCCCAAGCCCGGTGCAACGAACTGCTCAAATATTTGCTTCCCTTTCCCCGCAGCGAGTTCCTCCCCGTTGGCCTGGGGCGCGGGTCTTCGGCTCCCCGCTGCCGCCGTGGGGCGTGGGAAAGGCGGGCTGCGGGGCGTGAAGCGAGTCTGCCCCCGAGGACGGTCTTGTCCCTAATGCTCTGGGGTCCTGCTGTCACGGGTTCTCCTTCGGGGTAAATCCCTGCCTCGGTTCCCCCATCCGAGGGAGGTTCGTGGGGGCTTTGAGGTCGATGGCTGTGCTGGAGATGGCAAGGCGAGGCCTCTTCTGGGGCAGGCTGAGAGCCCTGGGCTGTCCTCGCTCGTCTCTGGGCCACCTTTTTACCCCCCCCTTCACCCCGGCCCGGTCCCCGACAGCCGTGGTGGACCCGGCGCGGCGTGCTGCACGGTTCAGCCTGGGGCCACGGGGGCCACGGGTCCCCTGCGTGGTGAAGCGTCTTGCTGGGCCATACGGGGCAGGGGCGGGTCACCCGCAGCCCCGGGGCTGGATCTGGCCTCTGACGCCGTTGAATCCAGCCCGCGGGCCTGGGGCTACATGCACAAACGGCCACAGGGACCGGGTCCCGGCACCCCCACTTCCCCCTCCTCTGGCTCGGGCAGCCTGCCCCTCCTGCGAGCAGGTCGGGGTGCCGGGGAAGGGGCTTGTACACCCGGCGGGACCGAGGGGCGTGGAGCGGTCTTCCTCCTCCCCTGCCGAGGGGTGCGCGAGGGCAGGGGGCTGCGTCCAGGGTGTCTCGCATCCTCGGGGTGCCGTCCCGGCGCATAAAACAGAGGCCCGGCTCCACCTGGCAACTTGGCTGGCCCAGACGGGCAGGACCCGGGAGCCGGATGGGCAGGAAGCTGCTGCTTTTCGAGCAGTGGTTTGATTTCTTGCAGCAAATATCCTGCGCTGGCTGCCAAGGGCCTGGGCAGGATACCAGCAGCTGGCCTTGGGCTTGCGCCCTGGCACTGCCTCGGTCCAGGGCTGGAAAGCCTTTGAAGGGACAAGTCATGCGGCACCAGCGAGTGCCATCTCCGCCTCGTTGTTTTTCCTCTCGGGCAGGGGCAGGGGCTGGGGCTGCAGCCCTCCGCTATCCCGCCCTCCCTCCTGGGTGGAGAGAGCTGGGCTGGCAAATAAAAGGAAGCAGGAGCTCGGTGGAGAGAGCAGCCCAGCCCAGGAGCCAGCTGAGGTGCCTCCAGGCGCAGGCAGAGTATCTCCTCTCCTTTCCATCTTGGGGATGGGGTGGGGAGCCCAGCAGCCCCAGGGGTTGGGGTGGGGGCAAGAGGCATGCACTGGAGGGGTCGGGGGTTGTAAGGAGCCGGGGACACCTGAAACGAGGGCTGGCCCCTGGGCTGTGTCCAGGCACGGCCGCCCGAGATGAGCCCAAGTCTCCGGGTTCTCCGCAGTGGCAGAGCTCGGCCAAGGGGCGAGCGGACCCCCAGAGTGCAGCGGGGCCGGTGCCGCTGCGGGATCAGATCTCCGCTCTCCCGTTGCATCGTCCGTGGCTGCTGACCGTCTCGATGCACCAACGGGTGTGCTGGGGGGGGCAGGGGGTTTCATTCCCAGGCTCCTAATGCAACCACTAGACCCCACCGCCCTTCGAGAGACCCCACGAGTCCTGGCACCTAGTCCTGGGGGAGTCCACGAGGTCCCTATCCCCTCCCGGCAACAGGATGAGACCCCAGGCGCCCTGGCACCCCGTGGCGCAGCCAGCGCGTTCGAGCTCGCAGCCAGGGCTGCTTGAATCTGCCTGGTTCGCCCGGGAACCGCCAAGTCTTCTCCAGCCGGTACAAACAGGGACTTGTCCTGCCACCGCAATGGGCATCTGCGACCCAGGGCACAGCTGGGTCCGTGCGGTAACCGGGTGTGGAGATCCCTGCTTCAGCTGTGCTGTGCCCTGCGGGGTACAGCTGCTGGGGGTCCTCCCCAGAGGTGGCTGCATTTTGGCACGGGTGTAACGTAGACCTGCTCAGCGTGTGAACGTGTTGCACGTGGGTGCTGCGGATGTGGGAGTCGAAGCACCGCAGGGAAAACCGGGTCTCGCTGTATTCCCAGGCACGGGTGTCGGAGGCACCCAGGAGCTGCTCCCTGGGTTAAGGCCGCCCGAGGGGCTTAGAGGAGCCCCAGGAAATGCGGCCCTGCGTCAGTCTGACCCTGTCTCAGGTCTTGGCCGCGCGTGCAGGAGAGAGGTCAGGCTCGACACGACTCTTAACACTCCTCTCTCTCCCCAGGCTTAGGCAGGGGATGGGGCCTCCGGCCCTGGCCGCGGCCGCTCTCCTGGGGCTGGTGGCCACCATGCTGGCCGAAGTGGCCGACCGCATCTGCCAGCCAGCTCCGCTGTGGAGGGTCAATGGGACGGTCCCGATGGACGAGGCACTGGGGCAGGTGACGGTGGTGGCACTTTTGAAGGCCAGCTGACAGTTCTGTCTCAAGCAAGCTAGCAGGTGGGCTTGGGGCTCGCTCCGTCCCCCCCAGGGAGCCGGGGGGCGCGGGGAAGCCAGCCGCTCGGGCACGGCAGCATCTCGTCTCCTCACCCCGGCTCTTCCCTCCTCCCAGCCTCGGCAGCTTGCGCGAGAAGCTGTCCCGGCGAGGGGTGGCCAACGTCAGCTACATGATCGTGAACGAGAAGGCACCGCTGTCCCGGGCCATGTACTGGGAGCTGAAGCGCCAGGCCCCCACGGGGGTGCCCGTGTACCAGCAGAGCATCCTGGACCCCGACATCTGGCAGATCCTGGATGGGGATAAGGACGACTTCCTCATCTACGACAGGTGAGCGCCTGGCGTCGGGGCTGCGAGCTCTGCCGCGGTCTCGCGCTCTCCAGTCCCTCGAGGAGTCTTGAATTAGCGACTTGCAGCCGACGGCCGGGCTTCGGCGACCAGCCTCGTCCCTCCGCGCTGGCTTGTTAGGCAGCCAGTGTGGGCGAGGGGCAGGCGTGCAGCTGTGGCCCCGGGCCACGTTGTCTGCCTGACCCAAGCCTCGTTGGTAGTCCTGGAAGCGGTGGGGGTCCTTTTCACCTGTGACATGGGACCATCTAGTTGGGATGGTCCGGCTTGGAGCAGGGGGTCGCACTAAGGTCCCCTCCAACCCTCACATCCTAGGATCCTCTGACTTCTCAGTAGGTCGCCTCCCCGTGCTCCGAGCCTCGGTTTATCCTTGAGAAAATGGGTCTAACACCATGTAGCCCATTGACGGAGGTGGGAGGGTAATGACGGCTGGAGATGTGCCTGTGGGTCCTGGTAGGAACAAGCGAGAGGAAGGCCAAGAACATCCTGAAGGCCCTTTATTTATCTCTGTTAACTGCCAGGCCTCTCTGGGACCCGCCACGAGGGGCAGGAGCTCGTGGCCGAGAGACCCGGGGCTGGGGGACAGCCCTGCAAATGGGGGTTGCCTCTGCAAAGCCACCCACCTCGCCCTGCGCGGACCCCGGCTTCGTGGCGTCTCTCTCCATCTGTGTCGGGGCAGGATGTGGGCAGCCCGGAGCACGGGGAAGTTGGGCCGATCGCTCCCCTCTTGCTGCCCCCTTCCTTCTGCGGGTGCCACGTGCCCCCGGCCTGGCTCCGTCCCCGCGTTGTGTAACCCTCACGGACTGCAGTTGTTTTCCTAACCCGCCGCTATTGTTTGCTCCACGGGCCCTTGAACTTTGCCCACGGAGGAGAGGGGGCTGCTAATAAGCACGCAGCGCGGTCAGCGACCTGCC